GGGGATAGGTTGATTTGATTAAGGGTTTATGTCTTATCAAATCAACCCACTAGAAGAGATGAATAGCAAAATGGTTTATCCTTGTCCGACCAAACACAAGATAAGGACAAAAGTTTGTGCAATACTTCCAAGAGTGCTTAAATAGAAGTATGATTATGCTTTACTACTACTCCGTTAACAAGTGTTGAAATTTATACTTGCGAGCTGGACAAAAAGAAGAAAACTTGTCTACAAACTGTTTGATTCTTCCACCATTGCCGAAAGGCATGCTCTCTCATTCAAAAGCCTAAAGAACACCAAAATAAAATTATATTTTACATTAAAAAAAGAAGTATAATTGACCCACATTGATACTACCATGTGGCAAATTCCAAGAATACCTACCCCTTCCCAATAGTCTATAATGTTCAAAGTGAAGAATTATTGATCTAAAAGAAGTACCTATTGTATTGCACGGCTTATATTCAGAGCTAGCTAATATGTTAAAAAATGGAGATTCATGAATCTTGTTCTTGTTATAGCCTTATAGGCAAACATCAAAAGTTGCATAATTGACAAAGTAACTTTCCGTATTACGATCAACTTTTCAAACCCAAAGAAAAATATATGTTTTTTTGCAGAGGGTATGGTCCATGGGATTATGAACGGACGGCAGTCATTGAGACTTGGTCGTGTCACACTTCCTACTTTGAGGATAATACTAACGAGGGGATACGGCATTTACCATGCCACGAAAAGAAAAGAGTAGGGAGACTAAGGCAAACATGCGTGCTGACCAAAATAGAGTGTTTTAACAGGAAAAATGACCAAGAAAGAAACAAGTAGGATTCTGATATTCAAATTTGGATCATTGTTTTTGGGCTATTCAAAGATGCCAATCGTGTGGCATTCAGCTTATTTGTGTACCCAAGGAGGACTGCAGTGCCGTATAGCTTTCCAAAGATAAACGTTTCTAGTATATCCCCGAATTTAACTTATATATAATGGCAACTTAAAAAAAAAATTACTATCTAACAACATATTTTATCATGTAACATTCTTTTGTTTCTAAGTTACTAGTTTGATTTCTTATAAATGATTATTTGTAGTTATCTTTTAAGTGATTGATAAAATAGTGTAAAATTCTTTTATGATAGAAATTAAAATCTTTCTTTATATTATCAATCCATCATATGGTGCAATTGTGGTAGTGGACCATTCTAAACTAGCACATGCACAAGGAGACGACGACGACAACCACGACACCGTCTCTGACTTTTTCTTTTAAGTGTCACCTAGTGGGGACTTTTGGGGCACCACTAAAGAAGAAGGAGCAATTGTTGTTATTTGTAGGACACAACAATCGTGGCTTTTAGGGCTCTTAGCTAAAAAGTTTGACAAACTTAGGGTAATACTTGTCTCCTTTAGAAACTCACTCTGGATCAAGAGTCTGTCTCCAATTGGGAACGTCTAAATTTAATCAAGATAAGAAAAGAAAAGATAGAAAAAAAAATCATAAACAAAATCTACAATGTTGGTCCCACATTGTGTTTTCACACTCACCCAATATGTATGTTTCTCTGGCTTCATTCCAAGTCAATCTGCAAAGCTAAATGATAAACTGAACAAAGACTATTAAAGATTAGCCATGCCTTTTTGGCCACTACTACCTGAGTGAAAGCTGAGAAAGAACGGAACAAAAGCATTAGTTTATTGGGAGAAAAAGATGAGATAACAACTGCTAAATACCTTTCCAATGTACAACACGTGGAGGATTAAGCTTAAGAAGACGTTTTAAACTCACTATTTATAACTAGTACTTTGATTGCACGTAGCTTTGCTTGAAAAAGAAAAAGAAGCAATTGGAAAGATACCACACCCTCCCCTTAAGCTTAGTGCGTTTGACATTTCTATGTTCTTGAAAGCTAGTGTTTTGACCCTTTTCCTCTTTAGTTTTGTTTTTTGGTTTGACTAAAAAGGATCGGTCGGTTTTCAGCTGGGGCTTCATTCCATATTAAATTGGAAAATTAACAAATCAGAGGTCGAGAGAGACAAAGCAGAAAGAGGCAAAAAAGGAGTCCAACAAGCTATGAGTACAAGGTAAAAAGAGAAAAGATACTAAACTTGTATTGAACCACATTACCCTTTATTAATTTAGTGGGGTTCCCAGAGGTCAACGTCCAGATCGAAATTGCAATTGGACAGGAAAAAATGATGATGAATTGATAACTACAAGCGGAACATGAGTCAAAATACTTGTTAGTTGTTCATGAGTTATTACATCTGAAAAGTTCACCTTGATGTATATCATCACTAAGCATAGTCAATCGTACCATTTAAAATATCCCAAACAAGCACCATAATTGGCTGAACAGCTTGGCCTCAACTTTACACAATGCTTAGGATAAAAGAAGATGCGTTTCTTCTTAACGTGCAGTACCTGCAAACCAAGTTGGAGAATTGTTGACTATGAGACCCATGACATAATTTTAATTTTTAAATTAATGTGAATGTAGCAAGAGGAATTGACAGGGTAAAAACTCTAGAGAAAATTTCATCATCATTGGAGCTAAATATACAACTAGGTGAGCCAAGACATTGCGTCACTTCAGTACTGAAAAGACTTTTGTCCTGAATCCAAGACTTATGACCTTCCACATGCCTAGCTATAGTTTCACAAATGAAGCTACAATATGATGAAAGAACAGCTAGAGCCCTAAGCAATAGCAAAATAATTTCAGCAGGATAGGTGTACAACTGCTTTCAATAACTTGTATATGCCAACCAAATTATTCCAAACACAAATCTAAAGTAAATATCTAAGTACAAATCATGCTTACAGGGAACGATATAAACTTCTCTGGAATAATTTGGATAAGCCAGCAGCAGCGTCAAAGGTAAAAAGATCAATTGAACTTGGTCTCTTTCCTGTGGTAGAATCATCAATCCATATAAATCCCCTGCCAGAAAAATTGATGGTTACTTATGATGAATTCTTAGAAGTATGATTTTTCGTCAGCAAATAAAATAGGAAACTTTTATGTTTTGGCGTAAAAGAAACCAGTCATGCACGTTATGAAGCGTGTCAGAGGAAATGTACAAAAAAGTCCTATCCTGAAACAAGTGCAGGGAAAAATCAACTTTTCTTCCCCTAAATGAAATTATTGATGACCTTATCCACCCAAAAGAAAAGGCCTCTCAACGTTAACCGCTAGCTGATTCCACTACCCTAGGAGACAAATACTTGACATGTCAGGTCACTTTGAAATACAGGGCACAACCCAAGCAAACTATAACAGGAAACAATGCTTATTCAATCATGACTGACGGAATGAAAATTGCTGCAATCCATGAAAAGTATGTAAATGCAAAAGCTACTACAAGCAATTGATTACTTTGTGTATTAAATTTTGCAAAGGGTAAAACTACCAGATAGATTTTGATGATTCAGAAAAAGAATTAAATAATTACAGATTCCATTATCGCTTAATCTTCATTTACTCTTTTTCTCAAATGTTCAAGCTTAGGGTGTTGATGAGATCAAACAGAAAAGGTACTCAGTGAAGCCTCGTAATATTTAGTTCAAAGGAACGGGAGAGCAGATGAATTACATTTCATACTGTGCAAGATATGCCTCCTTCCCTTGTAATATATAAGGGTATCAAATGCAAGGAGTCGATCTTTGGACAGAAAGAAAATTGAATGAAGCAACTTTCCACATTTTTTTAAAGGCTAAATCAGAAATATAGCAACTTCCCATATAACTTTTGCTCTCTTTCACCTGGTATTCTCAGCGTTTGGGCAGTAATACATCTTTGAAATTGGTGACAGTCCACAGCCCAAATGCAAGTAAAAGGCCCAATAAAGTATTAGAAGCCCTATGCAGGTGTAATCGAACTAAAAATGCTTAAATGGGAGATGGCAACCTGCCATGCTAAAGTAACGAGATATTATTCAATCTCTAAGTTATTACATCGAGATCCCTATGCAAACTTGCATGTTTCTTCTTTAATTCATGCCAAACTTTTGTTATTGAGAGTAAAGAAATATAAACCTTGCGTTTCAGTCATTTAATTTGCTACCTAATTTCCTGTAATCATGTTCAGTGTTACATGACAATGATGCCAGCCTTGTTCCAAACAACTCTCTTCTAATTTTCACCTCGGCACACCCTTTGCAAACTTATATCCTCCATAATGATTCTCATTCTAAAAGTTAAATTTTTATTATCAAGATCCTGATGTCAAAATGGTCAAAAATCATGGAAAGGAGACACAGATTCAAATGCCAATATTCTCATACGAAGCAAACCCAGCCCGTAAAAACTGCAGTTTTCATCCATCCTCGATAGCAGCACATCTTTAGCAACAACTTTTTGTATAAATCTTAATTTGATAAATTGGAACTAATCATGGATGTCAATTTAACAAAGAAATAGCAAAAAGAATTACCAAAACATGAGCTTTATATTAACCCTTCTAAGTTTCTGAAGATCAATCTCTTTGAGTTCCTCATATCATCTGCATAGTCTATGGAAATATCATCACTAAACTAATGAAAGGAGCCTGCAAATGCACCAGCTTGGTAAAGGTCAGTCATGCAAGAGATTGAACTGTATTCACAAATCTTTAGACAAAATACAAGAATAGACATCAAAGGGAAAAAATATTCGGACAAATTTTGCCCGTTAAAGAAAGCACACCATCTGCTACACAGGGAACAAGTCAATCAGTTAATTAAACTGCTGAGACTACAATAATGGAGAAGACATATTAATGATGTTAGCTCAGATGGAAATATTCACAGTATTACACAACACACATGACAACAAAAAGTCTTCCCCAGCTGTAGACAACAAATTTTGGAGGGGTTATACAAACATCAGGATCAACCAAGAAAAGGTATCCGCTGGATGAAAACATCATAGCAATGCGGATAAGATGGATCTGCGTTTATAAAAGATTGATAAGCTTATAAATCACCACATCCTACAAAAGGCGAAAATAGCAAGCATAGAGTATAGTATGAGAGGAGGTCGCATGAGATGGTATGGCCATGTCCTACAGGAATTATACACTCGTAGGTGTAACAATTTGATGATTAAAGGTGATAAAAAAGGACGAGTTAGACCTTAAATCATTGACAGGAGTTATCTCAAGAGAGTTACAATTTTTTCCGACAATACCTACTTAGCTAGGAATAGAGCATAATGGAAGCAACGAATCTATATATGCTATAACACTAGTTGGATTAAGGTTTAATTGTTGTTTTTGCAGTTACATTAGATCCAATGTTTGCCCGGTGCCTTTATTCTAGTCAAAAACTTGTAATGTACGGGCAGGGTTAAGTCTACGATTTAGAGAATATCTAGTTGCAGAGAACCTGTAATCTGTCTTAAAAGAGAAAGTGTTTCAAATGGATCTGAATAGATCAATATGAAAGGAATTCATATAACTGAACTCAACAAATTTGGAATTGAGGAATACGATATGAATGATTGACAAAATGCCTTATTTTGAAAGAAAAATGACATTCCATTATCGATAAGCAAAAGATCGTCCTATATTTGTCATATGATAAAATTTGATGCAATTCACACAGTAAAGACAAAAAAGCTATATGAATTCATTCAGACAAGCAGTAATGCAAAATAAATACACCAGCTCCTCCACAAAACGACCCATCAACTTATCCATGATCCTTTCAACATGTTTTTCTCGCATCATCCTCTTTGATACCATTGTCGACACCTCGTCATTCAATAAATTGCCAGGAAATGCCAAGAGAAACAACTCTGGCATTTGATTAACAGCGATAAATAGAGATCTGACTAAAGGATAACTTAAACAAATTCAAAAAATGGCAGATTATCATAAAATTCATATCTGACCAGCATTTGCATTTCAAGTATGAACAGCATTTAGGAAGACTGTGCATCACAGATCAGAACCCAGCCAAAGAAAATTAGTACAGACAACCATGAACAAATATTTTGTAAGCTCTAGAGCAACAGATTGACAGAGAAAGAGAAATAGAATGCAAAATCAACCAAAGTTAGCTATTGTATGCAACATTAATAACAGCAGTAATACATAAAAACCAACTCACAGCTCCCAAAGGTAATTGGATGCATCATGGTTTCCTCCGATGAATATAGCTGGAAAGGGTGCAACCTCCTCTTCAGAATAATACTTCCAGAAAGAATTCATGTTCCAGTATTAGGTGGCACGTTTAAACTTTCCAGATCCCTCTCAGTCTAACAGCCTACTTAAGACAAGGGAAATGCCTCAATTGATATTAATATAGTAGAGGAATTAGAAGTTTAGATGCGTGGTTGTTATTGCGATGGAACCAAGAAAACTAAATAGATAAAAATTGCCAAACATCAAAACGAATTAACCAGTTAAGTATAAGACAATTACTGAGCAGTACATGTGACCAAGATGCCAAAGCACAAATTTCCTAGTAAACTCATTGACAAAATCATTTACGGAGAATCAAATGTTGTACCTAGAATTTAAAAAATTAAAAAGGAAATAGAATGATTTCTACCTAAAAATCGCCTCAGAGTTTAAGCAGATCAATCTTTTATTCGATCAGTAAAAGATATTATTGTTGATTGCCAGCATTAAGAAAACGCTGAGCAGTATGTACAGCTAGCAACAATTACATTTGTGATGTGCTCAAAAAATCAACCATAGCTTCTACAGAAGCAGATCAATCTTTATATTCTCAACTTTTTGTAAATGGAGTTGGCTAGCATAGACATTTTAATTCTCCATGCATACACCCCTCTTTCGCAATCCTCCTCAGCATGTAACACCACAAAGAATCATTTAACACTATTGATCAACTAAAACTCCATATTCATGAATTCTGAAGGAGAAACAAAAGGTAATGATTTCGTCCCCTCGTATTATCACTATTATTTCGGTAATCCTCATTTCTTATATTTCCCATCAAATAGGTGACAAAACAAAGCAACTTGGCTAAAATTATAATCCAGATTTTAGCTTATTATAAATTGAAAAGCTCAAAATATTAATTCAATTGTTTGATCCTAAAGCTATTTCAGTAACAGATGACAACAACAAGAACTACTACATCTCTATCCCAAACTAGCTGGGGTCGGGTATGTTAATACTCGATATCCTTTCCGCTTAATACATCCTGTTTCGTTCCATTACTCAATAATTTGCCAATTAACGGAAATTAGGGGGTTTTCTAACAGCAAAGTACACCTCACGCGTTTCCTTACACTGACATACAAATCTCTGAAAAATTTAAGAAGATTCCTAGCAAGTACTGTTTCGATTGGCTGTCAACAGCTACACGAACTAGTAATTTAATTGTGTCAACACAACTAAACCTTTTATGCCACTTTGATGTTGCTAGTTTGAAATGTGCATGCCAGAGAAAACTATTTTACGGCTGTAGCTCGTCAGTTTGAGAACATAGAGTTGAGTTGTTCCTTTTACAATCGAAATCCATCACATAATGCTCGTTTCTCAGCAGCATATACACTCAAAAGTAAAAACTTTAGGAATTAATTTCCAGTACAAATTTGGGTACAAAACTGAAACTATTATTATACATTCTCGCAAAAGTTATTCTACAGCTCAAGATAAACCCTAAGAGAGAGAAACTGCTCCTTACGACGGCGCTAGTCGATTTCTCACTTCTGCTAGCAGTTCCGCTTTGTCACTGGGCAGAGGAAATTGATGTGTGCGGCGGAATGGAGTCGTCGACGAGTGGGCCGACGGTGAACGGGCACGTTTGGACCTGAGACTTCTCACACCGTTTCTGTAGGGATTAGGATTTTTACATTTTGTTTAAATTAGCTTAGAATGGTTAAACCTCTTGTAAAATCTGAATACTTTTTGCTTTAGGTATGAATATGATGAATAGTTATCATGGATTAGTTTTATAGTCGAGCATAATCATGAATTGTCACTTGATTAGAGTCTTAGCAAGTTCAACATATCCGTGACGTGAAGGTATTTGGTTTGTATATATGAAATACTACTTCCATTCCAAGAGGACATCAGAAATGAAAAGTAGTGTACATATGGAGTTTGGACAACTTGTAACAATAGCAAACTAGAGGATCCAAACTTGATGTCATTGACATTGATAGATTTTCTGTTGTCATTTATACTTTTTAACTTTATACAATGTAAGGATAGGTAAAGCAATTACACAAACTGACATCTTCTGTGTAAATTGCTATATGATGAGAGTATACTTGGGTAAAAATTGGCTCAATGTGATCACCTGCCATGTCATCATGCCATATAGGCGCCATTTGGTATATATTAATACCAAGTGGAAGCTTATATAGGAGGAAGGCTAGCATTTGTGAGAAGATTCTAGAGAAGTATGGACATTTCCTTTAGAAGACCCTAGATCTCTATGGATTTGCTAGGAAAGTCCTTGGAATCTTTAGGCTTGTAGAGATTCTAGAGAAAGTCTTTATCTTGTAAATATTAAGTGGTCGAGGTGGTGATGTGAATACCTCCAAGCAAAAGGAAATTGTGAATGATGAGATTCAAGTGCAAGATGATGATGTTCCTTTAGTTGATGAGCAAGTGAGAGAAGAGAATGTGAATGCGGAAGTGAGGATTGATGTTCATGATAATGAGGTGGAGACCCAAGATGATGTGAACCCGTCTAGGGAACACGTAATAGACATACCGGAAATGGTAGTGCCCAAGGCTAAGGTTCCCTTGCCAAGGCCTCCTCCACCTTACCCTCAAAGGCTTGCGAAGCAAAAGAATGAGAACCAATTTAAGAAGTTCATAGAGATGATGAAAAGCTTGTCAATCAATGTTCCATTAATGGAAGCTCTTGAATAAATGCCGGGTTACGCCAAATTCATGAAAGACTTGGTGACTAAAAAGGGATCCATGGATTGTGATACCATCAAAATGACTCACCAAGTAAGTGTAATTGTGCACTCGATGGCTCCAAAGCTTGAAGATCCCGGCGCTTTCACTATTCCATGCACCATTGGGAGTGCAGATTTTGCAAAGGCATTGTGTGAATTGGGAGCGAGCATCAATCTGATGCCTTACTCCGTTTTCAAAACTTTGGGTATTGGTCAACCACGACCTACTTCAATGAGGTTACAAATGGCGGATAAAATAATGAAGAGGCCGCTTGGTATTATTGATGATGTTCTTGTTCGGGTGGACAAGTTCATTTTGCCTGCTGACTTTGTGATTCTGGACTGCGAGGTTGATTATGAGGTTCCGATCATATTGGGAAGACCTTTCCTTACAACTAGGAAAGCCTTAGTTGATATGGAAGCCGGGGAACTCACCTTCCGGGTGGATGATGAAAAAGTGGTCTTTCATGTGTGCAAGTCAATGAAGCAGCCCAACAGTACTGAAGTGTGCTCTTTCGTGTAACAATTAATACTTACACACTAGCCCCCAGGAGACTAGTATATAAAGGGGGTCATTCATTTATAATTCACCAAGCAAACAATTCAAGTTCTCTCTAATACAAATCTTTCTTTAACAATTCTCTTGGATTCTTTCTACCATTCTCTTAGCGATCTTGAATAAGGCTGACTTGGCATAGCAAGAACGTGAGCAAGTTGTGCAAGATCGTGAGCGAGTTGTCAAGTGTTGCACGTGTACTTAGTTAACAACTAAGTACGTGACAACGTCGTATCAAACCGAAGGTTGAAACTAAGGGAATGCCAAACGAGGAATAAATTAACGCTACCAACACCCAAGCCAACGTCATCCAGACTGCTACTGGCAAGAGCGACCGTAGAAAAAAAGGAATGCCACCAATAAGAGCCAGGAGGTGTCGCCCGAGACTGTGCCAAATAAGGGGCTCACATCCCAAGAATCATCTGCCACTGAGGCGAGCAAGGAAGAAGTGGAGGTCCTGCCCGAGGACGTCTCGCTCAGTAAAGAGTAGGTGATGAAGATGAATGCAGGGATGGACGCCGAGGAGATCTTTGGCCAATGGTTGAGGAAGGTGGAAGGTACTCTTAGCGTTCTTGAGGGGCAGACTCTTGTAGAGATTGAGAGTATCTGAAATAACTTGGAGGGGCGTACATAGACCGAGATGGAACTAAGGCAAACCATCACTGCCTTAGAGTGCAGACTCATGGAGGCTTTGAGTACTATCGATGCTATGAAAGCAAAGATGGAGTCACTAGAGGAGCATGTCGATGCTGGCATGACCGAGGCAGCCAGCAATGTTGTGGTGACGAGGAAGACCAAGACCGAGGCTCCCAAACCCCTGGTGTTCAAAGGTGTTCGTGATGCACAAGAAGTGGAAAACTTCCTTTGGCACTTGGAGAACTACTTTAGGCACGGCAAAGTGAGGGACGACGAGGCCAAGATCAATACTGCGGTGTTGTACCTCTCAGAGACTGTCATGCTATGGTGGAGAAGGAAGATAGCCGACGTGGATAAAGGTCTATGTACTATTAGCATGTGGGATCAGTTCAAAGCTGAGTTCAAGCGACAGTTCTTTCCAAACAATGTCTTGTACGAGGCAAGGTGCAAGCTTAAGGAGTTGAAGAAAATAGGAACATACGTGACTATGTCAAGGAGTTCACTACCCTTATGCTTCAAATACCCAACCTGACCAATGACGACTTGTTGTTCCACTTCATGGACGGGTTGCGAAACTGGGCTAAGCAGGAGTTGCAACGCCAGCAACTCGCAGATATAGACCAAGCCATAGTGGAGGCCAAATCATTGATAGATTTTAGGCATAACAAGCACGACAAGGCAAAGGCAATGAGTCAAAGGTTAACAATGTCAAAAATGGGGGAGACTGTGGCAAAGGCAAGGAGATACAACAACTCTAAGACTCAAGATTCCAAAAAGTCGAGTGGCCGTCAGGGCTACGCCGAGAAGAAGGCGCAGGCCGAGAAGAAGGGATGCTATATATGCGGAGGGCCACACAGCTTTAGGAATTGTCCCGACCTCAAGAGCCTCAATGCTATGGTCCGTGAACGGAAGGAGCAGCCACAAGGAGAGAGTTCGGAAACCGCACAGTTGGGTATGATCGGATTATGTGGTGCTGTCATGAAGCAAGCTATCCAACCTACCGAGAATAGAAATCAGTACGTGGATCTCACCATAAACAAAAAGCCCGCTCATGCAATGGTGGATACTGGAGCAACTCATAATTTCGTGACTGAGGCTGCCGCAAAGAGACTAGAATTGAAGCTTGCTCCAACCAACTCTCGCCTAAAGACCATGAATACTGAGGTATAAAATGCTCGTGGGGTAGCTAATGGAGTTGGTGTCAAATTGGGAACTTGGAAAGGTATGACAAACTTTACCGTAACCGCTATGGATATCTTTGACATCATACTAGGGCAAGAGTTATTTAAACATTGTCATACTTTGATCGACCCGTACCTCCAATGTCTCTTGGTTATGGAGTGAGAGAAGCTTGCATGGTACCTATAGTGACTATGCCACACGGACAGATCCAAGCACAACTCTCAGCTATGCAGGTTGTCAAGGGGATCAAGAAGGGGGAGCCAACATTCGTGGCAACCATTGCAAGTCTAGAGAAAACAAGAGTTTTCAAGAGATACTGCCGCCTTGCATAGAGAAGTTGCTTGAGAAAAACAAAGATGTCATGCCCGAGGAGTTGCCTAAGCACTTGCCGCCTAGGTGAGAGGTGGATCACAAGATTGAGTTGGAGCCAGGGGCTAAGTCACCCATATTTTCCCCATACCGTATGGCACCACCCGAGCTAGAGGATCTCAAGAAACAATTGAAAGAGTTGCTAGATGCTGGTCACATTTGCCCATCAAAGGCACTTTTCGGTGTACCAGTATTGTTCCAGAAGAAGAAGGATGGATCGATGCGCTTGTGCATAAACTACCGAGCACTTAATAAGGTCACAGTGAAGAATAAGTACCCAATCCCGCTCATTGCTGACTTGTTCGATAGACTTGTGCAAGCCAAGTACTTTACCAAGGTGGATCTTCGCAAAGGCTACTACCAGGTTCACATTGCAGAATGGGATGAGCCAAAGACAACATGTGTGACGAGATATGGAGCCTTTGAGTGGTTGGTGATGCCCTTCGGCTTAACCAATGCACCGGCCACATTTTGCACCCTTATGAGTAAGATTTTTCATCCCTACCTTGATCAGTTCGTGTAGTCTACCTAGACGACACAGTCATCTACAGGAACACCTTGGAGGAACACATGGAGCACTTAAGGAAGGTTTTCTGAGTCTTGTGGGGGAGAGAGTTATACATTAAGAGGGAGAAATGCGAGTGTGCACAATAATGGTTCACTTCTTGGGCCAAGTCATTAGCAATGGCGAGCTACGTATGGATGAGGCTAAGGTACGTGCTATCCAGGAGCGGGAGGCACCTATAAAGGTAACTGAGTTGAGATATTTCCTTGGCCTTATTAACTACTATCGTCGGTTCATTAGTGGCTACTCAGCCAAGGCCGCACCATTGACTGAGTTGCTAAAGAAGAACAAGCCATGGGTTTGGACGGAGCATTGTCAAAAGGCATTTGAAGGCCTTAAGGCAGCTGTAATAGAGGAGCCAGTCTTGGTGTTACCCGACTTTGCCAAGACATTCAAGGTGCACATAGATGCCTCGGACTTTGCCATTGGGGGTGTCCTGATGCAGGATATGTCACACCTCCTTTTTCCGCACCCGAGGGGCGCAGGGGAGTTTTTTCCAATTAAAGGACAA